TTCATGTTTGTTTTAGCTAAAGATTTTAATTCCCACTTTGCTTCTTGGAGTAGCAGAATAAGATAACTGAAATAACAAAGAAATTATATTTCTACATAAATTTTCTTAACTTAACGGTAGAAGCAACTCTCAGGTGTATCCCATCACACTTGTAATAATATATGCAGAAAAATAATGTGAAAATTTTAAATAATAAGCTGCCCTACTTCGTTTCATGTAGGAAGGCTGCTTGTATCTTGATGATGCCTTTACAGATGACTTGACAGGTCTATAGCTTCAATCTCATATATAATGTATAGGTGTCTCTAGTTATTTCCTGACACAAAAGATGGCTAATAAAATGAACATTCAGACAATAATTATTGGACTGCTTTGGCATTGTAACGCTCGTTCAGATTCAGACCCAGCTTCCTCTCTGGTCTTGTAAGCCTTTTGGCAAGAAGACTGTCCATAGTCCATGACAACTTAATTGTATTAATTAATATCATGAATATGGAGAATAATAGGCACATTTTTAAAATTGTATGCAAAGGATTACTTCTTAGAGATTTTCAGCTCTCAAAAGGATTTAAATATATAATTTATATGATATATCAAATTCAGACATGTTTGTTAAGAAACATAGATGTTCATCTGTATGACTTACACTTAACAATGTGGTAGATTTCTTTGGAGTATTGAAACCTTTCAGGAGGAAGAACAATGTAGCTTTCTGTTATATTTTTACTATTATTAAAATTAATAATAACAATAAACTAACATAGTGCTAAGAAGATATTTTTCACAACATACCTCTCAAAAGTCATTTATTGAACAAATAGGTATTTTGAAAAAACAAAAGCAATAAAGCTCAGTAATGAACACCATGACTACTCACATCAACAGAGTCAGCTCACCTGATACCAAAGTTTGTGGAAAGCAAACATGTCTGCCAGTGAAACCCAAGGCTATCCAGAGGCATTTACTGGCAACATCTTGGGGCAGAGACTTGCTGAAATAACCTCAGTGGGTTAGAATTTAGCATGTTGTCAGCAAGGAGAAGAGAAGGCAAAAAAAACCTCACTATCTCCAGAAAGAAAAGAAAAGGTAATAATTCTTTGATCTCATTGGTAATATTAATACGAACAATGCTCTGACAGTACTAGTCTGTTAGTCTGTTTATCTTTTGCGGGTATCTTTTGCCTTTTCTACTGCTTGCTAACATTATTCCACACTGTGATACATGATCCTGTCTTCTAAGGGATGTTACTTGTAACCTTTGGGGATAAGGAGAAGTGTCTAAATCCTGAATTCTGAAAAGAATGAGGATAAACATTTTTGCTTGTGGCAAACTTAATTGCAGCACAGATTTTAAAGCTACAATTCAGCTAAACACTGCAGGGTGAAGGTTCAAAAAATGAGCCAGCTCATGCTGCTGAACAAGTTAAAGGAATGTATATGAGCTGTAAAGAGCATGTGAATACACTGATCTATACTGTGAAGAAGCAGCAATTTCTTTAATTTTCAGGTCACAGATTTTTTTGTAACACTTTTAGCCTGTAAATATCTGGCTCTGTGCTAGACTCTCTCCGGTAAGAGTCCCCGTCCCTCTTGTACTGGGGAGCCCAGAACTGGACACAGTACCCCAGCTGTGATCTTACCAGGGCTGAACAGAGGGGGAGGATCACCTCCCTTCACCTGCTGGCAACACTTCAAAGAAATCTACCACATTGTGAATTGTAAGTCATACAGATGAACCTTGTCATCAGTGAGTTTGATTTGAGTAATTCTATGTTCTGCATCAACAGCAGTCAAATTTGTCCTTAAGGCACTCTATTATCTACATCTATCCAAATCAATACTTTCTTTTTCATTATGAATTCCACTCATCTTTTCTTTTTACTAGATGTTACTGTCTGTCATGGTTTCCTGCCTGACTGCTCCCTTCTCTTGAGCTGGATTCCAGTTTGGCTGTGTACTTTTCATTTACTTACTTCGTTCAATTGCTAGTCTTTCTTTATCTCAAAATGGTTTGTTTCATTTCTTACTCTCCTATTTATTTACCTAATTAAAGTATTTTATTAAACCACTGAAGTATTAAAATGGGAAACAGATGACTTAAGAAAGTCATTATCTCTCTTAAAAACACAGTGAACCAATTATAAAGTATTTTATTAAACCACTGAAGTATACACAGTATACTGCAGTATACACAATATACTGCAATAATTACAATGACCAGAATATCCAGAAAAAGAAAATAACACCAAAACCTAATTAAGCTGTTTTTATAACTGGGATCACAGTTAAATGGAGTCACAGCTGCTGTGCCTATGTCTACTCATTTCTTGAAATAATTTCCATCAGCTTCCAAATGAATATTTTTCTTTTTTCTGTCTCTAAACCCACAATGTTTCAGAGGTTATAGATCTACAATGTTCAATTCTTAAAGCTCTGGACAATACAGCAAATAAAGGTCATTATATAGTACTGTCAGTATCTGTTATAAAGACTAAAAATATATACATTATTATTATATGCACACTTTTTGTAAATAAGGTTTTAGACATTCTCTAAGAAAACTGAAAGGCTATTTTCTGCCCCTTTTATATAACTACAAACTTATGAACTTGTGAATCATTCTTCTTTGAGTCTAAAGAAGGAAAAACAATCCTTCCCATTCTCTCTGGTGTTTATTAATACCTATGGTGATTACAAAATGTAATATATATGAAAAAAAAAAGTGCTCCTTGGCACTAAGTCAAAAAACTTAAGACTTCACAAGAAAAATTAAATAAAAACGCAAGTGAAATGAAAAGCCAATTTTAGTCCTTATAGTGAATAAAAGAATAAAAGTCTAACAGCTACAGATTTTCCTGGCCATCTGATGACACAAGAAGTAGAAGTATGTGTTTTCTTGCCAAAGTTACCAGAAGGCTCAGATGAAGTACCAAGCTATTTAGTTTAACCATAAAGGAAATGATATAACCTAACTTGATTAGATTATACTTGATCTAACAGTACACTAAAGCCATTCTACAGTCTAACAGACAATTCTAGCTTACAAAATGATTCTAACCCAATACATTCACATGCTCAATACTTTTCTAAAGCAAAGGCAACAAAAAGATGGCCCTTCAGTAACATATCATACTCTGTTTGACATTGTGATAGGCAATCTCTTTTCTGTTCATAAGATTGTCTAAAGTCAGAGATTATTTACAACACTAGAAAAAGAAAGCTGAAAAATATGATAGACAAGAAAAGATAAGTGAAGGAGATCATCCAACGTGGCTGACAACAGCTTCCCATATCAGAACAGCAAGAATAGTCGAGCTTAAAGATACTATACCTACACCATATAAAACTAGGTATTAAAATAAACCACAGAAATTAAGCAACTGATTTTAATAACAAAAGAATGCTGTGGCTATCTGCACTGAAGAAAGCAGTGTGTGTTTCATGGATGGGTGTCTAGACAGTATGATAATCATACAGATTTAGTGTGCAGGATGTAAGAGCAGTCTGGTATCCCTCATACAGAATACAATGCTGGTAAGAACACGGGAAGGGCCTCATCAGCAATTGCTCTCAAAGTGTTGTTCCTTTAAGGCTCCTGTCCATATTCCTCCAGGACTGCCAAAACTAAAAAGCAGTAGGCTGCATATCATTGAAACTGAAATATCATGTGATAATTATTGGATCTGTGGAATGATTCCAATGTCCTGTAGTCACAGAAAAGAAAGCAGAAGAATAGTAGTGGTGAAACGCATATATTGGAGCCACATGTGTCACAAAAGCCTGTATCTACCAAAGGCCAAGGCTGAAAGTGCTAGGTTTCTCATTCCTTACACAAAAATAAATAAATTTTAAAAAAAAAAACTTATAACAAAAGGTGTTTTATTTCAAGGCAATCTCAAAACACAAACATTGCTAGAATCCATTCAAATTGTTCCAGTTAATGCACAGACTGCACAGAACAGGACCAAAACTGCTTCTAACTAGCAAGTTGATAAATGTTTAAACATTTTAACAACTTCTCACTTATCTTTTAAGTGCAATAGCATTGATCATTAAGAGTTGATGCTTAAGTATGCATGCAGAGACCTATTAACTTAACCCATAGGAGAACATAAAAATCTCGTTGAGATACACTTATTTTGGAATGGATGGAGACCTTTTACAGATTTTGAAGAGTGACTCCATAAATTTGCCAGCTGATGGAAGGAAAAACAAAGTGGTGGGGAAAGTAATGACTTAGTAAAGAACTGAAATATCACAAAAACTGGGGAAAAAATATTTTTTTTCTGAACAGATTATTATTATGTGATCTATGATGCTTTAATGCAAAGTCTGGGAGAAGAGCTGTCACCTGCTTCAGGTGACAGTATATACTTTTACACATCTTTTAGTTAGTCCAGAAAATTCATCTCTTCTACCCTATTCCACAGCTGCTTTATAAACTATTGCTTATGTCTCAGAGATGCAAAAAGATTCTATCATCAAAAATACAACTTTCTGTAACCTATACTCTAAAACTCTATTATAGTCAATATGAGTTTCTATATGACAATGGCATATAACACAGTCACAAGAATTGTGCAGTATCTCATTATTTCTTTTAAAAATGGTGTTAAGTGACCATATCAGAACTTGGGAATATGGAATATGGGAATATTATATTATAGAGATATGGGGTGAAATGTAATACTTTACAAATTAATTCAAGTAAAGCCAAGCTTAACTTCTGAACTATCTGCTGATAGTAATTAAACTCCAAAGAGAAAATGGATTATGGAAACATATTTTATGGAGCTATGTTTACCACACTTTTTTACTTTGTCGTTGGTATTCATCAAACATGACATTAACCTTAGGAGAGGATGACCAGCATATATACATGTTTTTACAATAAGAACTCGAGACTTTCATAACACAAAAAATTATTGTATAGCCAACACTCCACAGCAAAATATTAGGGCAAGCTAGCTAACCCAGTTCCTCCCTTTTAGATTACAAACCTTAATTTATCCGTTCCGGTTTTGTACCTCGAGATTCGAGCCATTGATAGAGGAACTGATAGGGCGTCTAGCCAGCGCTTCTCATATTTTGGTTCATTAGCTATGGGTGAAGAAGGTGATGATGGAGCCTGTACAAAATAAATGAGAATTAGTAAGCACAGTCTACTAGACAATATAGTGCATAAAGCATGAATATGCATTTCTGATGGTGATTGTCTTGGTAGGGAATAATATAAAGCAACAGGATTATGCAGGAAACTCGGGATCTAGTAGAAAAAAAATAAAAGTCTCTGTATAAGAAATGAACACTGGTCATCTTGATACTATGCTTCTGATGTAATTTCAGTACTCCAGAAATTTTAATTTCTGTATATATATACGTAAAGACTATAGTAGTCATGCAGAATATTGATTTCTTATTCACCCACTGTGATTTTTATCCATAGCTTTATTTAATAACAGATTGAAAATTCTGAGTTTCATGTTATCAATAACTACATATGTTATTGATATACTGACTGATAAATTAAAAATATACATATCTTTGAAGTTTTCTCAAAAATATTTATTCTAGTAAAGCTTGCTGGCATTACTTAAGCAGTAGAAGATGTCAAAATCTCCGAAGAGTGAAAATAAACACTTGTATGACCTACTAAGTCCGTGCAATGAGAACAAATAAAAGAAAATAATATTAAATTAAATGTGTGTAAATGCCATTGCAAACTAAGTTAAGGGAATAAGACTGGACATACTGTTATTGATAAAAGGTTCTAGCCAAACCTAAAGTAGAGATTACATAAAGATCAGCTTCCTAATATATATATTGCCTCCTGTGTATCACGGCTAATTGTTTAATTAGTTCCTGAAGGCACCACAGAAGGAAACATGAACAGTATTATTTAGATTGTCACAGAACTAGTAGCATTTATATATATACATTCAGTGGTATGTGTGTAGTTCATTATTTATGATATAATGTCCAGAGGTTTGTGAAAACGGAGTTTTACTCCAGTAGGAGTTCAGATGGAACAGTACAGCGGAAGTACATATGCCCAAATATAGAAAGAAATGATGGCTACTGGTTTTGATTGCGATTGAGTTGAAAATCATGTTTACAGGCAGAAATCAATTCAATTAGGAACAGCTGAGTAACTACTGTAATTCAACTGGAATTCATTGTTCAGAGTACCACTCAGGATGTATGATTATGTACTGCAAAATGATTATTATATGGCAACAAAAGTACACCTAGGAGCTTCTTATAGAGCTCACAAAAATGATAACTCAAAAAGGTTTCATTGGTACTCTTATCTCACTATCATGACACTTCAGCACTGCACTCTTTTTATAAAGATAGCAATATTATAGAGAAGCAGCTGAAAAAGATTCACAGACATAGCTATTAAGGCCAAGACTAGGCATCTGAGTTTTCTATCTGTTATCACAAGCTGTTGAAAGAATTTTCTAGCACAAGATGTAGTTGAAAAGTTGTCTTTTTTTTTTAAGTACCAAATATGTACTGACTAGTACTTACAAAAGCAGAAACACTACACAATGAGGTAACCTCAGCTCTGTTAAACCCCAGTATTCAAAAACCATGAAAATTAATCAAAATAAAAAACTCTGAGATTTGTATTATTTCTAGTTCTCTTTTTGCTCATAAGGTTTTAGGGTTAACATTTTTTTTGAAAGTTCTTACAGTCAGCATGGGCTGATCTTTCTATTTATTTCTTTAAATAAGCCAGAATCATTTCCTGTTCTAAAAGGACCACTGAAATTTAGTGGCAGAAGAATGCCTTCTAGTAAATAAAAATCTGTAACGAAATCACCAGAATTGGTAATACTAAAATATTATCTCTTATGAATCAAACTGTTTGGGGAAAATAATTTCATTTAGAGTATTTGCAAGGTCCCCAGGAAAATCCAGCTTTCATCTGACATATCTTCTAGCGTTGTTCTAGTGTTGTTGAAGAATCTTTAATAAAAAACTTCATAGACAATTCTATTCCATACAATTAGCCTCAGAAGGCTAAGGTGCCTCCAGAGCTTCATATAAATTTTATAAGATCATAGTGAAGAATCTGTTACATATTTCTGAATTCTGCACAAATGATTTTGTGACATAATTTCATGCACTGTGAAGCTGAAAATTATCAACAAAATCTAAAGTGCCTTTCTAGAAACTGAAAAGTCTAAGAATAAAGCTGAAGGTAGTTTATTGCAGTCAAACATAAACGCTTGAAAACAATCAATACAGTTTATATCCAGTAATCAGAAAGTAAAGAAGAGCCACAATTTTTGAAGTATCCTCATCTATTTTTCCTATCCTCTCCAGTCTCTAGATATGGATCAGATCTAGATAATCTGAACATAATAGCCTGGCAAGACAAATACAGAAGAATAATTAGCTAAAATATAACAAAATATAGTAAAGAAAATATAACAATTTGGAGCAATGTTCCTCACTGTTTAGGGGCATTATCAGAGCGCCCCAAGACAACTTATGCATATCAATGAATGAACTGGATAAGGTGGTGAACATTGGACTGATCAAGTTTACTAAGTACACCAAGCAAAGAAGAGCAATAAAAATAAGATCAAAATGAAAACAGCCGCAGAAGAATCTTCTGATATTAAGTATTTCTCCAGAAATACAGAGAAAGTGATTAGGAAACAATTGTTCACTTTTAATACAAGGTGTATAGAATATAGCATAGTAATAAAACTAGATATTTCTTCTGTTCCTGTTTCACAGCATGTGTTGAGGACAAATTCCAGCGTGCTGAGCAGGCTGCCCTTCAAGCCTGCTGTCTACTGAACAGCTGCTGCTCATGATGCACCTCTCCACATCACCCCTCCAAAACACTAAAAAATTTGGCTGTTTAGGGATCACTTCTGCAATCACATCTTTTATCTTATGGTCCATTTCATACCTTTGCCTTTCTGCTGAGACCTCCAACAATGTTGCCAATTAGCGCCAATTTGCTTGTAACACCTGTCCATTAGGAAATGGACTGAGCACAAAAATCTCATTTTTGACAGAACACTGAACAAGAATCAGTTTGTAATGACACATAATCACTACCCACCTGAGACAGCTGTGAACTGTTGACCTGGAGGAGGGAACGATTCTGTATCCCATTAGCAATCACTGACCTATGAAGGACAATTTATACGAGAGCTTTGTTTTTTTAAAAAAGCATATTCTATAGCAACTCATTATGGGTCAACCAGAAAGTCTTTCCATAAGCAGAATAAAGCATTCTCTGTTAAGTGGGAGATCTAATTAAATATGTCTCTATAATCAAGCTTCTACTATTAGAACACAGGAAGGTAGAAAACTCTACCCTTTTCCTCCTGCTACAATAAATTGCCCAGAACTTTGGCAATTGGTTATTTTATCTTGCTAAAAAAAAAGAAAAAAAAAAAAAAAAAGACACCCTACCACTGATTCTGAATCTCAACAAGGAAAATATTGTATCATTGGAGGAAAGTATTTCTGAATTTTCCTTAGTAATTTAATTTGGTATTTCTCTTATGGCTGCTCCTTGACAGCAGCCACAGTGATTTTCTAGGCTGATACAGCTCTTTCTTTAAACATGGGCTTCAGACAGGTTGAAGCTCAGTTAAGGCAGCTTGGAAGGCAAAAAAATACTCAGGGTCATTCTACTCAGTGTGCTTCAGCTTGCACTTTAAAATACTTTTTACTCCATACTGCAAATATACTATGGCTTGCAGGAAGGGAGTCTTGCAAAACCTTCATAGTGGGTGAAGATGAAGGAACATACCTGCAATATCTATTGCAAACATTGTTATAGCGCAAAGAAGGCAAGGAAAAAGAGGCAACAAAAATTGGTAGGGGGTATTCTTAAAAGACTAAACTGATTGGCATCAAGTATTTGTTCCCTTTAAAGAGGCTATCTTTTTTTTCTACCATGATGCCTTGCTCTAGTCTCACTAGCTTTGAGAAAGAAAAAAAAAAAGAAAAAAAAAAAAAAAGGGGGGTCAGAAGCCGTCTTTTTACCAATATCTGAGCTTTCTATGGTCTCTTGCAGTGTAGAACAGTAGAGGTGATGGAAAAAGTCAAGGATTTGAGATTTTCTCATTCCAAGCAGTGCAGTCTTGCTCTTTGTAGCAATTTTTAATTGAAAAAAAACCACCTCACCTTCACTTTCTGGAATGCTTTTATTTCCAAAGCTTCCTGATAACTGAATGCCCATCAATGTCCTGTTTTGATAAACTGGTAAACTGGAGATATCTCAAGGTATTTCTGCTGCTGTTGCAAAATGCTATTGGAAGAATGTGGTCAAGAAATAGCTAAGAAGACGTGATTCTTTTTAGGAGTACTCTGCCTTCTTTGTCACTTCTCAACCCAGTAATGTGTTTGCTGGAACTGCTCTGTTCCTCCTACCAGTGATGTGTCCCCACTGGGAATGGAGAAAGGCATGAACAGATGCCCCTGCATGTGCTTTGTGGATATATCTGGCATTTACTACTCAGTAAATATTTGAATGGAATACAGACCAAAACATTAGTAAAAAAAAACAATATTCGAAGATAAAATTACAGGTTTAAACATTAGTAAGTTGGGTTTAAAAGATTATCATGTGCAAAAGTTTATCATTATAACATAACTAGTTATTAATGTAACCAGAGCAAATGATTTCACAAAAGGCTTATTTGTGTTCTGTAAGATTTTTGTCTTTTATCAAAACCCCTCATTTTTTGCAATTATTTGCTAACTTGCGTGTTTCCAGGTTTCAAAAGTCTGGTAAGATATTCACTCACAACAGCTTTCGAGAACACCTGGATCAAATACGTATGCACCACTAACTTCTTATATTGAAACTTTACGTTCAATGAAGTTATTGTTTTGGCTAAGATAGAAAGGTAAAACTAGCTAAAAGGAAATGAATAAGTGGGATACTCATAGGAGAAAACTACAGACCTTTTTTCTGTGAGTTTTCTTGTCTTCTGTAAGATCTTTATAAATAATTTATAACGCAACTTTTTGTTGTTGTTTTAGATAATTTATCATTCAAAGTACATTATTAAACTGTCAAACCTGTTCTGTAAAACTGTGGTTTTTTCTGTTGTTTGTTTGTTTTCTATTAAGAAAGGTTAATAC